AATTAGTCCGCTGCGCTGCTGTAGTGCGTGTTGGCGGACAGCATATCTCTAAATATTCTATTCTACAGACATGCTGGTTTATTCGCGATGGTTCCCTTCATCACCGAACATGTGATAAGGTAACACTGGAAACTGCATTTACACTTTTCGGTGGAGCCAACGGGTGTGAGGAAAATACATAAGTTTTTCCGTACTCTGGAATTTACAGTAAGCACTTACAGTCAAGCAATAATTCCGTCTCAGAAGTTTTTTCGTAATATTTGTTTTGCCGCTGATCGCACATTATTAAAAAAAAACCTAAAAAACTGTTTTGATTTCTTAACGGTATTTGTTTTTATAAGTCTAATACTTTCAATGATGGAGTCAATTTTAAGTCGAATAATAATTACAAAATTTATATCAAACAAATTAAGACAGCGAACGCTAGTCTTACAAATATTATATTAGTTATTTTGATTTAATATTTTACAAAAAATTAAAAATACAAACTGTAGAACAATAAAAATGTCAATCTTAATGTTAAATGCATTATGTAAATTTAATATAATAAAAATATACATATTTTATGTAGATAAAATAATTATAATTTTCTCTGTCGTTTCACTATATAATCTTGAGCGACTATTCCATCTAACTCAGCAAATATGTGCCATATTAGCTTACGAGGCATTTACAGAAACCTTACTATAGGTATCTAGCATACAAAGTTATTAATGTCTATGAAGGTGATATCATAAGTGAAATGTTCAAAAAGGGCACACGTATGTAGTTCATATTTGTATAATGTTACGTTTATTAATCGTTTCAATTTAAGATTACTACATCTACTAATGGATTTGTTACAAATAGCTTGGATTTCTTTAAACTTAAATAAAAACAAGTTATTTTAGTCTGAGTTAAACTACATTAACACGAAATATTTTGTGCCAGATTTCAATCAGATGTATGTCCTATAAACTTTAGGTTAGAATCGTTTATGGTTGTGGTTGTGTTACTCTAGCGGAGCATCGTATCGACGGTGATAAGTTGGAATTGAGGGTATATTGAGAATTCGCCCACTCGTTTGTTTGAAAAAGTTGTTGCTTAAAGTTCACTCTAGGCGTCGTACTCGAGAGATTACTTAGAAGTCATTCTACGTAGTAGTAGAACTAAGATGTGTTGTCGATCTGTCGGTTGTGTTGATTCTTCTAGTGCAGGCCTGGAAGATGGTTTTGCTGAGAGGCTACCCTGTGTTACATTGAGATGGGTAGTGTTGCTGTTGGATTGCATACTTTAGTGTTATCATGTCATTATAACCTTCATGTCCCACCCATGTGTAACTGCAATATGAAATATTTTATAATTTTGATGAATTTGATTTTGATTATTATATAATGCCATATTACGGTATGGTCAAATTGTATTTGTCTATACTGAATGTATGACGCTTTTTAAAATTTAAATCATCTGCGTTATTTCAAGTTATCATACAACATTTAAAACGATTCTTTATATTTATTTATAAATATGGTATTCGTTTCAAAAACACTACGTTATCCTGCTTATTACTAGCCGCTTATGTAATTCTGGTGGGAATAGTGGTTGGCTACATTTTGACGTTTGATGTTTACTTTCGTTGCGTTGTATAAATGTATCTTGCGAGTCGTCAAAAGTTGGCTCCTAGGTATAGTCATGACACAGTCTTGGCAGATTTACCTATACATATATTATACCTCACGAAAACGTGGGCCTGTTGACAAAAATCGTCTTACCTTTTACCGTGCTTGTGTATTTTAGGCTTACTTCGGTAAAAAATATCACTCGATATATCCATATTGTACACGTTTGATCCTCTATAAGAATATCTCAACATTTTCCTGATATTCGGTATATGAAAACTTTCTATCTGCGATCTTTTAACCTATATTGCAAATTCACTAGAGAATCAACTTACGCAAAATGCGGGTGCCCAGATTTTGTAAATTTATTTATAAATAATTCATATTTAGAAAAGTTTATTTATGCTTTCGGAGTATGTAGTGGCATATGGCATATAGCATATGGCATATGACATATGTACACACTTTGGCTGTGAATGGAAAGGTAAATATCATCTCCAAACAGTGTTGAGCACTTTGGGAGAGCGACCAAAGGTTGAGTTCTTATTTAAGTGCGGAACTTCTGTAAGTATAATATGCTTACATTGCATCTTATACTGTTAGAAAATATCATCAGCGTTATAAATGTTTTGGTTGTGATTTGGTTCGTCCGCTGTAACAGAACCGTAATAATTTTTATTACTTATTATTATGGTAAAACACGACGTGATATTTTCCCAGCTTAAAATCGGTCAGCTAGCTTTGAAGAGAACTATGCTCTAAGTTTCACTGATCGTACCTGTAGCGCAATGGATTAGCTAGACATGACAATGCGCCGGCCATATGACTTAATGAACCGACAATTGACGGGATTGATATTAATGATGATGAAGGAGGATAATGATGATGAAGGAGGAGGCTGATGATGATGGATGAGGATGATGGTGGAGGAAGATGATGATGATGAACACAATATGTACGTAACTATAATATTAAGGACCGTTAAATCCACTTATCATTATAGTTAGAACTGAAATAGAGGCTTGCAAATTTAATTAAATAACGGTGTAAAGAATAATAATTTCATTTTTATTTTATTTTCAAGCCAAAATGGTGCAATGAAAGTACGCGAGTCCTTAGTAAAATAGAAACCAACATTATGTTTAAAAATTATAAGAATATTTATTCAATTATTATCGGAAATATAATCTATAAATGAAACATTATTTCGTCGCTAGCAATAAGGGGACTGGTTTTTTTCTCGAATAAAGACTAAGCAAGCCAATCAGTAGTAAACGCAACCAGTCTTTTTGGGTCGCCATTTTGTACCGCATGGATCAAGGAGTAAGGCTATGTAACTAATTCAGTTTTTATCAAAAAAAAAGAACAGTTATAATTAGGTACTAAATAATTACATTTTCATAAACAATATTTGAAAACCTAATTTATCTGTAACATTTCCTTACTTTGTTTGTCAGGGATAATTTTTTGTATCTATAAATTCAGCCTACAAACATTTTCGCACTTACTTTATAAAATTCTATAGAATAGCGGGCACCTATGTGCTTATTGAATGACTAGGGTCGAGTTCTTTAAAACGCTTCTAAAAGACAAAATCGATTTACCGTTATTGCCGCAAGCTTTTCTTTTTAAACTTATCGTTGTTTTCTTTATCAAACTGGTGAAATAACAAATAAAATTAATTCAAAACATTACATGTAAAACTCATTTATTGCAATATAAAGACATAAAGATATGGATTCCGAATATGCTTCTGGCGTGTGTAACGTAAGATAATCCATCACCACATTTCGTCACGTAGGTGTCATAAGAGACGAGTAAGAAAAGTGTCAGTGTAACGTCATGTACACTCTAGATGTTTAATATAATCAGATCGACGACTGGCAGTGCCAAGCATCCGAAACAGCTGATACTGCCATGCTTAATCCACCAACCATGCGTTATGATCAAGGGAAGTCCTGTTTAGCAGTGGACATTTACTGAGTGATGATAAAAAAGATTTTCTGCGTCGGCTGGTGAATTAAAAATGAATTTCAAGACAATACTTTATAAATATTTTACCGAGTAGTGACGATGTAAAAATATTTACTATCCCTTATTATCCCATGAGTATCGAAGAGGCGACATGGAGAAAAAAAATCAGGAGATGGGCAGCAACGCCCACCTAATAAAGACGAAGCGTGGCAACTATGGCAAATATAGCCCCTATAAGGCAATCCGTGGGGGAGGCCTATATTCAGCAGTGGACTTGAATAGGTCCACTGCTGAACCGTTACGGTAACTTTAATATCACGCCCAGTGCGTGTCATGAGGCGACTAAGGAAACCAATCGGTACTACAAGTCTATGGGACGTCATGGTAGTGTGGACTTTTGTATCCAGGGCGTTATTAGTTCAGTCTAAGTCCACCTGAGTATGCCAAAGTTATACATGAGGACAGGCATGACCCAGCCGTTATATGCGTGTGTCTTATTCACACCGTAAAAAAGGCTGTTATGCATTTTGGTAAAGCGTGCATAAAACACGTCGCAAACTGAATGTTTCATACCAGCCTCATCGATACCGATGTTCTGTGACTTACCCAGGTATCGGTATGTTTCAGCCTCGGAAAGGGTCCTTTAGTTGACGGGCATAGATAAGTCTATGCCTTCAGAGTTAGTAACCCTTCCCGTTTCATTATGGAGGACCGCACACTTATACGTCCCAGCTCTATTACAATAGAATCGCTAAATTCAGAAGTGATGTTTAGCAATTCCATAAGGTGGGAGCAACTGGAGGCGAATAACCTGAGGTTGTTCATATAGAAAAGGTGGGTCAATTTCGTACCTCCTTTCCGAAGTTAAATTCCCCTCCTGATGCCCTCCAGTAAATTACTGAGAGGGTTCAAAGAGAGGCAGAACCAGATTGAACTCAGGCATTTGCCCTGGAAGATACCCCTTCTTATGCGGCTTTACGAAGCCGTCATCCACTCACCCAGATAATAAAGCATAGTATTCCACAGCCCCACACACTGCTCGAGGAAGTCTCTAACTGTACAGTCAACCTTGTACAGCTCGAGGACCCTCTCTAGCCAATGTATGAGGCATAGCGTTGAACGCCTTTCTGTAGTCTATCCAGGCGGCGGAGAAGTTCCAACGGTTGCGTTTCAACACTTTGTCAATGACCGCATCAATGAGGAGTGGTTCCTTGGTTCCACGATTATCGCCCCATCATCCATTTTGAGCGCGTGAGGTCACCTGATTTAGCTACAGGTGACGAGTGATTCTCGAGCTCAAAATGAATGTTAGTGTCTTGTATATGGTCGATAGACCCGTGATTGGACGTTCTTTGGTCGGGTCTGTGGTACCAAATGAGTAATCCTAGTATTGAAGAGGCTTGGAAGTGATTTCGTGTTGAGAGCTTCTTAAAACTGTCGGTTGTGCACTGCGTGACATTCCACGAACCCCTTCAGCCAATAATGATTCAGCCTGTCGAGCCCGGGACGTTTCCAGTTCGGGGCCCTACGAACCGCCTCAGCCACGTCTTCAGGCGTTATGGTGATGGGGTTCATAGGCGTAACACTCGCACCCTGCGTCGTCACAACTTCTATCCAAGAGCCCTCGCTGTAATTTATGGGCTCTGACCACAGGCCACGCCAGAATGCGATAGTGTCGGCCTGATCCGGTTCTGGGCCCGCTCCACATACCTCTGGTCGCTCCAATGATTTAAAGAGCCTCTTCTGATCACTTTGAAGGAGACCATTCTGGTTGGCCTTGACCTCTGGGTAAATCGTCGGATCCGCCTCCCTCAAGCAGCGATTTTTTTGCTTAGGGTCATCTATGCTTTTCGTTAATTTCTGCGTGATATACGTCTGGGACAAACTGATACTTGTCTCAGCAAACACCCTTCTAACAATGCACACAACCCCTGTTCTATTATTACCTGACATGAAGTTTGTCAGTCTGATGGGATTTTAGATATTTATAAATAATAAAACTGCAGATCGGGTGAAAAATGCGTGTGCTCCGTGTAATAATTCTCTTGTCCAGTAATGACATTAGTGACATTGACAGATAAAATTAGACAATTAATATTTTTGGAATAGCTTATGGGCTTTTGTCCCATACAGATAAAAACTTAATGTTGTGTTGCCAACATATTGGCGGGGCAACTGGAAGATTAAAATGATAAGTACTTATTATTAAAGTATACAAACGTTGAAACACCCTATTAATTCACATAGACAAACAATATAGGTAATAAAGATATTAGTATTAACAAAAGACAAGAAACAAAAATTGTTATTGACATTAACTAAATTAACAAACTAATTGAAGTAACTAAGTACTAAACAATGTAACGGATACTTAAACTAATTATATTAATTACATAATAAACAATGTAGTGTAATGGTACAACTTTTTTTTGTTTATAAGACAATCATTATTAACCAGCACCACTACATTCCAGCGGTAGAACACAAACTTTCATTACAGCTCTTTTATGTGTGGTCGTTAGCAGTTTTGACTTCAACTACTCTCACTTTTCCATCTTTACCAGGTTAGTAATTATGACTCTGGCTAAGGGCCAGTATAGTGGTGACAAAATGTCATCCCTTAGGATCACCAATGCTCCTACCTTAACATTAGGTTGAATGTCTTGCCACTTAGGGCGAGATTGTAACAAATTTAAATAATGCTTACTCCAAACCTTCCAGAACAACATTTTTATTTCATTACAAGTTTTCCAAAATTGATATTGTTTTATTATGTTTACATTAGGCTCAGGATAAGTATTTAAAGCAGTTCCTATTAAGAAATGACCTGGAGTAATACAAGTGTAATCATTTGGATCATTGGATAATGGCATGATAGGTCTGCTGTTTAAACTAGACTCAATTTGGCATATGACTGTATACAGTTCTTCATAAGTAAGAATGGACTTTAGTAACACTCTCTTTAAGTGGTACTTTACACTTTTGACGCCAGCTTCTGCCAATCCAGCAAAGACTGGTAATTAGAAAGGTAAAAAATGAAAATTAATCCTCTTTTGAGCTGAATATTGACACACCTGTCTTTGGTGAACTGGAGAGTTGTGAAAGTTATGTAGTTCGTTTAATTGGTTCTTTGCGCACTTGAAGGTTGAAGCGTTGTCGCTATATATGTCTGTGGGCAATCCACGTCGCGATATAAATCTATTTAGGCAGGCTATAAAGGTTTCTGTTTTTAAATCAGTGGCTAGCTCCAAGTGAATACCTTTTGTTACAAAACACACAAACAGGCAAATATAACCTTTTGAGATTATAGGTTTTCTGAGCCTGGCTATTTTCTGTGGGATCAGACCAGCCTAATCTAAACCTACCTTCTGGAAAGGGCGACATACATTGACCCTGTCTGGAGGCAAGGAACCCATTAACTGTTTTGCTGATTCAGCTTTTAATCTAAAACAAACAGTACACGTATGTAACACTTTTTTAACTTGTCTGAGACCGTTCACAATCCAGAATCTTTGGTTTATTGATGACAGAACAAGCTTTGAAACCGCATGGAGGTTTTTTAAATGTTCACTTACAATAATTAAATTAGTGATGCGGGAATCCTTAGGTAAGACAATGGGATGTTTCTGCGTATAGGGAATGGAGGCATTTTATAATCGGCCGCCCACGCGAACCAACCCCCCCGTCATCGATAAACGGACATAATGGCTTTAAATTTCCTTTAACAATTGTTTTCTTACATTTTAAGGAATGAATATCTTCTGACAAATATTTTTCTTGTTCATATTTTAGAATCATTGACAGTGACAGATCAAGTTCCTGAGTTGTAATATAATTAAGTTTATTATTAGAGACTAATTTTGACTTTGCATTCTGAACGAAACATAAGATGTAAGCTAAAACTCTCGTCATTTTATTGATATCAATAAAATTTTCAAGAAAATCGAGACATAACGATTGCTTACCAGAAGTAGTACAAAGCATTGCACTTAACCATACAGAGTCGACGCTAACCTCTGGTAAATCCTGTGGCAAAATTAAATTTAATTGTAGCTTGTACTCACGTGAATGCAGAAACGCAGGCCCTTTCCACCACAGGTCATGATCGGCTAGCTCGTTTGGCAAGACTCCTCGGCTAAGACAATCGGCGGGGTTCTCGTTCGAGCTAACGTATTACCATGTGTATTTTTGTGTAAGTTGTACGATAATCTTAACGCGATTCGCTATATAAGCTTTAAGTGTGTTAATGTTAGTTTTGAGCCAAGTTAATACTGTTTGTGAGTCAGAATAAATTAAAATATCCTGTATTTGCATTTTAACAGTTAATATGTGATGAACTCTGCTGACAAGCTTTGCCAGCAACAGAGCTGCATTAAGTTCTAGTCGAGGAATTGATAAACTCTTATTAATTAAGGATTTATTCGTGATTTCGAACAAAGTGTGACGGCCCAATATTATTGTTAATAATTAAATTCAATATAAAGGGGTGTCAATAATAGTCTTAATATATATATATATATATATATATATATATATATATATATATATATATATATATATATATATATATATATATTAAACAATAAAATTACATTAATAAACATAAAGTTAATATAAATACATTTCAGAATTTAGACCAATAACATAGTAAATTAAAGGCAAAATATTGTCTTCCATAATAAATAAATTTATTAAAAACTTGAAAAAATATTTAAAATAAGATAATTAATAGAAATACAAGTCGAAAATATTATAAAAATTAAGATAAATAACATTAATAAGATAATTAGAAAATTTGTTGAAAATTGTCTAAGTCGTGGAAGGAGTTCATGTAAAAGAAAATTTTCCTAAGTTATGGAAGGTGTTCATGTATAGATGTTTTGTATAGAGGAGCTGCCGGAGATACATACCTGCAGTTGTACATATATATGGGGTGGTCGGGAGCCCGACTGCCTGAAGTACTGTAGCACAATGACTAGTCCTATATTAGGGACTTATGATAATAAACTCAATGATACAAAAGCAACACTATAGAAGGTCTCTATGATTAATATGCATTACAATAGCCCTATATATTAATGACTTATGAAAGTAAGGTCGATGATACAAAAGCAATAATATAGAAGGTCTCTATGATTAATATGCATTATACCTATATATTAATGACTTATGAAAGTAAGGTCGATGATACAAAAGCAATAATATAGAAGGTCTCTATGATGAATATGCATTACAATAGTAGGGTCGTGGGTTCCAACCCAAAACCCTTCATATATATATCATAATACATACACTGAATTTTTAGTTAAACATTTTTATGCGCTGATTATTTATCAAATTATTTATACTAATTCCGGAAGAATGTTGTGGTCACAGTACAAATCCACGAAAGCAAAAACTTTAATGTGCTTGAAATAAAGTTCATTATTTTATTGAATGACAGAATTAGTAATAATACAAATAAAACTGCACCTAAAAGTCTTATTGCCTTAAGTTACGGTCCACTTCAGTTTGTCTTGACTGTACAGATTTAGTGTGACTGTAATTTACGTAGTTTTAATTATTTTTGGGATAAAAAATTACCTATATTAAAAATGATAGGAATCGATTCAATAAACGATTCTGAACAAACTACTTTCTCAAAGTGCATTAATTATGTTACGTGTTGTATATTAATGACTTATGAAAGTAAGGTCTATGATACAAAAGCAATACTATAGAAGGTCTCTGTGATTAATATGCATTACAATAGTAGGGTCGTGGGTTCGAACCCTATATATTAATGACTTATGAAAGTAAGGTCTATGATACAAAAGCAATAATTATAGAAGGTCTCTATGATGAATATTCATTACAATAGTAGGGTCGTGGATTCGAACCCCATATATTAATGACTTATGAAAGTAAGGTCTATGATACAAAAGCAATATTATAGAAGGTCTCCATGATGCATATGCATTACAATAGTAGGGTCGTGGATTCGAACCCCATATATTAATGACTTATGAAAGTAAGGTCTATGATACAAAAGCAATATTATAGAAGGTCTCCTTGATGCATAAGCATTGTATGGAGTGGTCGGGTGACCGACTGCTCCTAGTACTGTTGCAAAATAACTAGTCCTTATTAGGGACTTGAAAAGGAATATTATAGTGGGGTGTGTGCTGCTTCACGAGCAATTGGTCCGAGGTAAACTTGGACTCGCTAACCGATGTGTCCTAGACATATCATCTTAGTGCTGGTGGTAAGCGGGTTTGTTGTAGCAATACGGCTTTCCCGTGGACATCGCACACCCATATCGTTTGTGGGCGACGTCGTAGCGCATAGCGATGCGTCGTCTGTCTTTCGGATTGGGATGATGAGTGTGTTTGGTAGCACTTTTAAGTGTAACAGGCATAATCAACTTCATGTCTTAGTGCATTAGTGCTATGATACGTGGATTTTTGTTCATTGGCGTCTTAGTAGCGTGCTACTATGATACGTTGGTGATATTTTTTATATAACAACAATACAAACTTTGTTACCAAAGTCGATAGGGATCATGTGGGTGTGTTGTGAGGGGGCGCCACCCGTATGATAGTTGCATTGATGCTAACTGCTACTTGCGGTATTGCGTCTTGTGATGGATCTGCCGGTGTGCTGCGCCTGATTCGACGCATTCCTGTGGTTCTGGTCGATGGAGGTATACAATTAACATCTAAGTGCCGATGGTAAGCGGGTTTGTTGCAGCAATACGGCTTTCCCGTGGACATCGCACACCCATACCGTTTGTGGGCGACGTCGTAGCGCATAGCGATGCGTCGTCTGCCTTTCGGATTGGGATGATGAGTGTGTTTGGTAGCACTTTTAAGTGTAACAGGCATACTCAACTTCATGTCTTAGTGCATTAGTGCTATGATACGTGGAGTTTTGTTCATTGGCGTCTTAGTAGCGTGCTACTATGATACGTTGGT